ATGGATAGATGCACTTTTATCATGTATAGATTCACTTTTATCATGTATAGATGCACTTTTATCATGTATAGATTCACTTTTATCATGTATAGATTCACTTTTATCATGTATAGATGCACTTTTATGATGGATAGATGCACCTTTATGATGGATAGATGCACCTTTATCATGGATAGATGCACTTTTATCATGGATAGATGCACTTTTATGATGGACAGATGCACTTTTAGGATGAACAGATGCACTTTTATCATGGATAGATGCACTTTTATCATGTATAGATGCACTTTTATCATGTATAGATGCATTTTTATGATGGACAGATGCACTTTTAGGATGAACAGATGCACTTTTATGATGGATAGATGCACTTTTATGATGGACAGATGCACTTTTAGGATGAACAGATGCACTTTTATCATGTATAGATGCACTTTTATCATGTATAGATGCACTTTTATCATGTATAGATGCACTTTTATCATGTATAGATTCACTTTTATGATGGATAGATGCACTTTTATCATGTATAGATTCACTTTTAACATGTATAGATGCACTTTTATCATGTATAGATTCACTTTTATCATGGATAGATGCACTTTTATCATGTATAGATGCACTTTTAATTCACTTTTATCATGGATAGATGCACTTTTATCATGTATAGATGCACTTTTATCATGGATAGATGCATTTTTATCATGTATAGATGCACTTTTATGATGGACAGATGCACTTTTATCATGGATAGATGCACTTTTATCATGTATTGATGCACTTTTATCATGTATAGATGCACTTTTATCATGTATAGATTCACTTTTATGATGGATAGATGCACTTTTATCATGTATAGATTCACTTTTATCATGTATAGATGCACTTTTATCATGTATAGATTCACTTTTATCATGGATAGATGCACTTTTATCATGTATAGATGCACTTTTATCATGTATAGATGCACTTTTATCATGGATAGATGCACTTTTTTCCTGTATAGATGCACTTTTATCATGGATAGATGCACTTTTATCATGTATAGATGCACTTTTATCATGTATAGATTCACTTTTATGATGGATAGATGCACTTTTATCATGGATAGATGCACTTTTTTCATGTATAGATGCACTTTTATCATGGATAGATGCACTTTTATCATGTATAGATGCACTTTTATCATGTATAGATTCACTTTTATCATGTATAGATTCACTTTTATCATGGATAGATGCACTTTTATCATGTATAGATGCACTTTTATCATGTATAGATGCACTTTTATCATGGATAGATGCACTTTTTTCATGTATAGATGCACCTTTATGATGGATAGATGCACTTTTATCATGGATAGATGCACTTTTATCATGTATAGATGCACTTTTATCATGTATAGATGCACTTTTATCATGGATAGATGCACTTTTATCATGTATAGATGCACTTTTATCATGTATAGATGCACTTTTACGATGAACAGATGCACCTTTATGATGGATAGATGCACTTTTACGATGAACAGATGCACCTTTATGATGGATAGATGCACTTTTATGATGGATAGATGCACTTTTATGATGGATAGATGCACTTTTACGATGAACAGATGCACCTTTATGATGGATAGATGCACTTTTATCATGGATAGATGCACTTTTATCATGGATAGATGCACTTTTATCATGTATAGATGCACTTTTACGATGGATAGATGCACTTTTACGATGAACAGATGCACCTTTATGATGGATAGATGCACTTTTATGATGGATAGATGCACTTTTATGATGGAAAGATGCACTTTTAAGGTGGAAAGATGCACTTTTATGATGCACTTTTTAAAACATAACTCTGATTGTATTCGTCTGAAAGAAGAATGTCATATACACCTAGGATGACTTGAGGGCGAGTAAATCATGGGCTAATTTTCATTTTTTGGTGAACTATCCCTTTAACATGTTTACAGATTTATCTAAAATAGCCAAATGTTGATCCTTTAGCGCTGTAGCTTTTGACCCGCGCCTCAAGACTCACTCGTGGGTGTTTTGACAGGCTAATTGTGCTGCATGTGATGTATGGCAGGATTTGACTCTGGATTTTCAACAGTAGTTTTCTTCACTGAAGCTGTACGGCGTTCCAGGTGACCTGGGAAGTAGATGCCATGACCCTTTATTCTGTTGATCCCAAAACGAACATCTTTATCAAAATAACCCCGCCGTAAGAGCGTGGGAAGACACAGCGAGTACATTCATCACTTTAACGATTAATTTCCTTGTCCTGTCCTTCCCCGGATCTATTAATATCATTCCTGAGGTGTAAGTATGCATTTCCCGTCGATGAGATTTATTCCGATATCATGCCTTCCATTACTCATCCCGCAGCACCTGCGATTTAGGAGTCAAATCAAATTCAATATTTTTTAATCAGAATATGAAAATCTTAACTTGATCAAGCCATCTTCTGGTATTACTTTCCTCGTTTCTCACAGGGAAAAGTCGTGAGGGCTCGTATGTGGAGAATTAATTTCAGATGTTTTTGCAGTAATTGTTAGAGAATGAAAAATTAAAACTCCCAGCAAGGTGTCGGTAAACATTAATCAGATCGTCTGGCTTTTTGTGCCAGGTAATTTGCCTTAATATTTAAATGTTCTTTAATAACTCTGATTATTAAAGGATTGTGCCGATTTCTCCGCTGGCGTGTTGTGGAGTGCTTGTAAAATGCCTCTACATTTATTAAAACACGCCGACAGATTTGAAGCTGTCGTGCCTGAGGACTTATCTGCCGTCGAGAGGAGGGCTTTGTTCAATCACATATCGCCACTGCTTTAAAACACTTTAGATTCCCCTGTAATCCATTGGCATCCTGTAATTAATCAACTAATTCCAAGTCTCAGGATGGCTGTAATTACGGCACCTCGTAATAGCTTATTCTTTCTGCTCCAGCACCTACATTTCATTTGTTTATTTTCTCACACTCATAAATCTGGGGGAGTGTCAAGAGCGCCACAATATTAGTGCAATAATCAAAGTTAATTATCAGAGGCACGCGCTCCCCCCTCCTGCTAATAATGGAGACTATCAGAGAGATCGGCTGCGAGCGCAGAGCCACGGGCTAAATCCCTGCCACGCCACATCAAGACCAGAGGAATATTCATTAGGAATTACAGCGTAAAAGAGAGAGCGTTGAAAGCTAGAGGATCTTTAAGTTCTATAAGAACAGCATTTTTTTAACCGAAATAAAAAATGTTTACCAGAAGTTTTAGATATAAAGCCCAAAGTACACTTCATTTTTTACTAAGGCTGTCGATTTAACGCATTCAATTAATTAGTTATGGGGGAAAATAATGTGTTAAAATTATTAACACACCCATCCAAGACCTCCGTAGTTCATCTTACATCTCATATAGTTGACTGGTGAGGAACATGAAGCAGAGCAAAAGCTCACTGTGTGATGAAGCCTGTATAATGCAGTTATAATGCCCTTAAAATTCAAGATATCAGAGCAAAAATGGCCCTGTATGGGTTTTTGCCTCATATTTATATCATATGATATAGTTAAGCAATATCACACGAGTGCTGTTTTTGTTCCGAATAGCACGAGTGCAAGTGTGATATTGAGTTACAACAGTTCAATGAATAAGAATCCATGTTTTGAGCGAATCAATCGGGTGAAACAATGATTCAATGACTCATTCATAAAGAGAGCCATTTACTTCATTCCTAAATGAATCAGCCGTTTGAACAAATCGAATGAATGAATCAGTGAATCAGTGAATCAATGAATAAATGAATGACTTACTCATTAAGACATTTACCGCCACTTGCTGGCAGTTTTAGTTTCTTATTTAGAGTATAATTTTTTTTTTTTTTATTGTATTATTACATTTCCATATTAATAAAAATCACGTTGAAAGGTCACGCGTGGCGGAAGTACAGACCTAGTGTTTACAAAGCAAATGTGCAAAGATTTAGTCAAACACCATTTACAAAAAAAAAAAATTAAATAAAAGGTAAAACGACGATGTCGATTTTGAAGTTGGAGGAGAAAATGAGGAGGAGTTTTTCGCCCTATCCTACATTTATAAACCGGAACATGCGTGATCTTTCAGCGTGATTACGTAATGTGTGGCGCATCACAGCTAGTGCAAGATCAGCATTTGTGCTTAAAAGTAAGTAAATGTTTATTTTTGTTATAAGTGTCCGCTGGTTTGTCTAAATCAGACTCTTATTCCTCGGCTGGATCGTGTCGAGACTTTGAAGCTGCACTGAAACTCACATCTGGACCTTCGACCCGTTGGACCCCATTGAAGACACTATATGGAGAAAATCCTGAAACGCTTTCCTCAAAAACCTTCATTTCTCTTCCACTGAAGAAAGAAAGACTTGAACATCTTGGATGACGTGGAGGAGAGTAAATTATCAGGATATTTTAATTCTGAAGTGAACTTGTTTAACAAAAGGGCGCTAATGTTACTAACTTAAGCTTAAACCTGTTCAGCAAAATGTTCTGCTAATTGTTGCTCCACCACGACAGTACTTGGCGCTAATGTCTGCTATAGCATCCGCTGCGGCAGAGCAGACTTAGCCGACAAACTGGGTGGAAAATAACATTTCCCACAATAACAATACTCTGATAAAGTACAGATCCTCGAAAAATTGACTTAAGTACAGAAGTAAAAAATACTTGGTAAGTGTCCACCACTGACAAGCAGCACTATTTGAAAGAGTTGCTGCCTATGAAGAACAATTCAGATCAGATCATATATTGCATTTCATACATAGTACCACTAAGTATAGATGTCAGTTAGGATGCATTAGAAGGCCGATGACTATGTAGAAACAGCACTAATGACTCAAATCTCCACCTAATCATGTGACTCAGGAGAAGCCAGAGATGCCAGCTACACAAAACGTGATTTATGAAATGTAAAGTTCGCACTGCAGTAGTCAAGAGTGTGTGTGTGTGTGTGTGTGTGTGGTGCTTTTACTCACCCATTCCTCCGTGATCAGTCTTGCTGCTTTACTGGCACGACTTTGGTTTCGGCACGCTAAGATCACATGGGCGCCGTGAAGAGCGAAAGATCGGGCGGTCTCGAAACCTGCAGATAGGGCGTGGGTGGGTGGAAAGGGGATTGTGGGAGAAGAGAAATGACATGATTGAGATAAGTCACTTGACTGATAACTTGCTGTTATTTGCGGCGGATGAACCCGAGCAGAGGGTGGACGGGATCCCATATCTCGGATTCGTTCTCCATCAGACAGAAAGCCAAAGGCTCTTTTTTAAGATACTCAATCAAGACCCTTTTAAGTGATGAAAATGATTAAGTCAAAGCTGAGAAACTCCAATAGCTTTGGTAATGATAATGAAATGAAACCGGACCCAGGACAAGACCTTGAGGCACCTCAATGACAGAACGTCTATCGTAAGCACATTTACACGGGAAAAAATAATCTGTATTTTTCCAGTATCAAAATATCTTTAAAAAGATACATTACTTGCAAATAAACTTGTGAAACAATGACTTATTATCAAAAAAATGTATTTTTTTAATTAGGTTTAGTTTTCTTACTTTATTAGCAAGTCATTCTTTTGTTCTATGCATAAGCCTCACCAATTTTTTATTTACGTTTTAAACGAGAAACAATAGGGTTAAGAAAACAAAACTTAATCTAAAGATACATATCTCTGATTTGTAGCCGAGCAATTTTGGTTCTCAGGTATAATAATGGATCTTTTTGCTTGTACTTGTATACTGATTAAGAAAGCAGATTTTTTTTGCAAGAATAAATGAGTAAATGGAGACGTAAAATCCATAATGTGTATTTCTTCTTGGCAAACCCATAAAGCACTTCAAAGCCAGAGTGATAAGAGGTTCAGATACTTTAGCCTCATTTAGAAATTACTCTTTATATCAGTTTCTCAAATTAATTTTCAAAAATCGCCACTCTAAATGGGTCAGTCAAACCCAAAAGGTAGAAACAATGATCTAAATATACTCCGTATGGGAAGGCAGAAACAAAACATTTGCTTCACTGAAAAAGGTTATATTTAGGGGGGACTTGGGGTATTGTTTTGGCTGGTTTTGCTGACCTGCCGTTTTGCATTGTGCGTTTGATTACACCAAGTGTGTTTAAATTTTCTCTTAAGCTGGCATCAGCATTTTATTACCCGGAGTGGGCACCAGTCATAAAGGTACATGTGTCTCAGAATAGATACTGCGAGAAAAAGCCTCAAGTTCATAACAATGGCTCAGGTTTGCTATTCCGACATTAATAATCAAGTTAAAGAAGGAATATCAGATGGGGCGAACGGTGTGTTTTGCCATCATACGAAGGACACAAAAGGTCAAACCTCTAAAATCTGCAGTGTCCCACGACTTCTGTCCTGTCGGCAGGACATTTGAGCTCAGTGGCTTATTTTACCCCGTAATCCTCAGGCGCATGTGCATCTTTCTGTTGGCCACGTTTGCTCATTAAATCCTGGGTTTAATTACAGCGAAGGGGCTGAAAACGCATGCAGATTTGCTCTCTTCTGTTGTAATCTCCTATTACTGTAAAGCAGACTCAAAGACAGAGCTAAATTGGCCTTTGTGGTTTTCCCTGGACGCGCGGCGGCTCAAACGTGGGTGGGTGTGTGTGAGTGTGTTATCGGCCAGCAGGTGGACTGAACGCGCTGCTTTACTGGCTGGCCTCTCTCTGACTGTGAAATAACCCTTGGCCATTCGGCTTGTAAAACATATTACACTGTCATGGCTCAGAAAAGACCTGACAGGCCGACACGGCTCCAACAGAGAGGCATGACTCGTGAACCACTCCAGCGCAGGGAATCATGGGTATCAGTGGACATGATGAGCGCTGACAGCTGTCACTGACTGTGAGTGGCACTCGCACGCATGTCCGAGTTTTTCACCTTCACTTTTCCCACTGAAGTTCACTGCCCCGTTCCTTCCACAGGACCGATCCCACCAGCACCTCCAATGATCCTATGAAAACCAAACCAATCTCTGTTACCTCACATTATATGTTTATCTCTGTAAAGCTGCTTTGAAACAATCTAGTGTTAAAAGCGCGATATAAATGAGGATGACTTAACTTTAACACTGTTTTTTATTTTTATAGACAGGAAAGGAGGGCGAACCTCACAAAACCTGCATATTTTTTTGCTTCTATTTTGCCCCTAGATCAAAAGGAACATAAGAAACAATAATTTTGCATAAAGACAACAAAGCCCATTTTAGGACCTTTATTGCACTGTAATAAAAAAATAAAAATAATAAACTGCTTTCTGTACATTTTTAAGTACAATCAACTTGGATGCTGAAAGTCATTTCAACTTAAATTACATTTAACTGAGTTGAATCTTGTATAACTTGAGTTGAAAATGTAAAATATATGTTGTCATCCATAACTTTTTTTTACAGTGTAGTACCAGATTTTTCCATTGTGACATTATTTATGACATTAACAAAAAAATAAACAAAACATATTGATGTAATAAAGGAACATTTTACATGAATGTGATATAATACGTTCCATGTATTTCAATAAATATTACTATAGGTATGATGCATTATTTATTTGTTTAGAGTGACTTCACCATAATCTTTTGAGTTGCCTTGTCTTGTTAAATTTGATTTGTATGCTTTTAAATAAAATACATTTAAACATTTAATGTAATACAGGAAAATTATTTAATTATTGTAACTAAATAAATAATAATTTGAAAGTTAAGTACTGTGAAGTAATAACAGTGATAACATGTGCAATGCCTTTAATTGATGCTTTTAATTATGCATTTATGTAAAATCATACAAATCAAATGCAACATAAAAATGAAAGAAAATGTTACTCTTAATAAATCATAAAACTCTAGAAATATTCACTGTAATACAGAAAAAATTATCACTGAAATAAATATATTTAAAAGTAGAAAAATAAGGAAGCTTTACAGTAATTTGGGGGTGGAAATGTACTCAAATGTACTCAAAAAATCTTAGTGGTACTAAAAATAGGCTTTATTTTCTTCATAGAAAATGTTTTTTATTTTTTTTTTTAAGCAGAATATGACCTGGAATGAGAGTGGGATCAGAAACGCACTTCATACGAGTTTCCCGACACACACATATGTAAAACCCTTGCCTGATAGCCTGGCCTTCCTCTATGCAAACGAAGCGGGTTTGACAGTGTGCCGGCGTGTTTCTGAGCCACAGACAGTCGGGGCGATAGCGCAGATTAAAATGAACTTTAATTAGATTATGTTTTAATCTGATTTTCATTAAAAGGTAACTAGGAGGCCTAATTGTGAGGAGAGAGCTAAGGAGTATTACCCATTAAAACTCAAAATTGGAGTAGGATAAGACCTCCTCTCTGACAAACCAAGCATGGAATTCAATTTTATGACACCTTATTAGGAGTAATGGAGAACGTGTGTGTGTGTGTGTGTCTGCACAAGGCCGTCCTTCCCGGGAAACAGACACCAAAATACAAACAAGAAACGCTTTCCCTGCCAGTAGGCCAACAAAACACACATTCACCAGCAAATCCATAACAGGACACTTCAGCGGTGTGCTCTCATCGCCTTCTTAATGAAACAGTCTCGCATTAGCGTTGATCACAAGAGCAACTCACAGTCACCTTGTGGAAATCGTGGCGGTTGTTCGGCTTGAAGTGTGAATTAATCAACGCCGTTGTTTTTTGTAATGGAGAACAAATTAGAACATGTTTAACGACAACAGCGACCCGCCATGTATTATTTATGGAAAATAAGAGGGGCTTGACATTAATTTGGACATAATGACTCCGCTTGTTCGTCAAAGAGGCGGAGACGCGCACGAGTCCAGCTGAATTAGCATGACATTTCAGTGAAAGAAAGAAAGATGGCCGTTTTAAGATCATGTCTTAAACACAAGGTTAGTTAAATGACCACTGCGTTTCAGTGCTGTTTGCTCAGGCATCTGAACAAACACCCCTCACCTCATCAGTGCAGCACTTCGGCGTGTAACGCACTGTGTGGACACTGTGACGACAGGACGTCCCAGAGATGGCCTATGGGTCACTGGATGGGTTTACGCTTCGGCGTGTAACGCACTGTGTGGACGCTGTGACGACGGGACGTCCCAGAGATGGGCTATGGGTCACTGGATGGGTTCATGCTTCGGAGTGTAACGCACTGTGTGGACGCTGTGACGACGGGACGTCCCAGAGATGGCCTATGGGTCACTGGATGGGTTTACGCTTCGGCGTGTAACGCACTGTGTGGACGCTGTGACGTCCCAGAGATGGCCTATGGGTCACTGGATGGGTTTACGCTTCGGCGTGTAACGCACTGTGTGGACGCTGTGACGACGGGACATCCCAGAGATGGCCTATGGGTCACTGGATGGGTTCATGCTTCGGAGTGTAACGCACTGTGTGGACGCTGTGACGACGGGACGTCCCAGAGATGGCCTATGGGTCACTGGATGGGTTTACGCTTCGGCGTGTAACGCTCTGTGTGAACGCTGTGACGACGGGACGTCCCAGAGATGACCTATGGGTCACTGGATGGGTTCATGCTTCGGAGTGTAACGCACTGTGTGGACGCTGTGACGACGGGACGTCCCAGAGATGGCCTATGGGTCACTGGATGGGTTTACGCTTCGGCGTGTAACGCTCTGTGTGGACGCTGTGACGACGGGACGTCCCAGAGATGACCTATGGGTCACTGGATGGGTTCATGCTTCGGAGTGTAACGCACTGTGTGGACGCTGTGACGACGGGACGTCCCAGAGATGGCCTATGGGTCACTGGATGGGTTTACGCTTCGGCGTGTAACGCTCTGTGTGAACGCTGTGACGACGGGACGTCCCAGAGATGGCCTATGGGTCACTGGATGGGTTCATGCTTCGGAGTGTAACGCACTGTGTGGACGCTGTGACGACGGGACGTCCCAGAGATGGCCTATGGGTCACTGGATGGGTTTACGCTTCGGCGTCTAACGCACTGTGTGGACGCTGTGACGTCCCAGAGATGGCCTATGGGTCACTGGATGGGTTTACGCTTCGGCGTGTAACGCACTGTGTGGACGCTGTGACGTCCCAGAGATGGCCTATGGGTCACT